CTGTTTCAGCCCTCATCTGCTAGTGAGCAACTCCGCACGAACGAAATGAACCGCGGGCAAACGAAAACCAATATAATACTAAAGGCACCGATGACAGCGGCCCTAGCTGCTGCTAAGGCTAGCACAGTCACGATCATCACTACAGCGTCTGTCAGGTAATACCAGCGGAATTAATAACGATACAGCTGCTGAAGCCCAACACGGTGACGGCCGCGGCGATAAAACAACTTACCGATTCGACAATGAGATCAGGATCTACGTACTAGGAAAAGGCTGCCTTGCTCAATGACAGGAACAGTACAAGCGAAATAATGGACACTGGTGCTGGATCCAATCAAAAGGTAGCTAGTAATTAGATACAGCCGACACCATTTGCCATCACTTCTTGTGTGGGTGGAATAAAGTAAAACTGGACGTAAATTTTACGCTTACTATATGTTTCGTCAGCTACGCTCCTAAGTGCGTGCATGCATGCATGCATGCATGCATGTATATGGTAGAAAGATCGATGTTGTTATTGAGCAGTTGACTATTGTAGAAATAAACACATGTACAGGCACTCTTGTACAGGCTGTACATTTCGGTTGCAACTTAAAGGAAATAAATGCTCAATGCAACAGATGTCAGTATTATATAACGATAATATCAGACGTGCTCGCAGCCTGAGACGGAAAGAATCAACGTTTGTGTTCCAAAGATCGGCAATTTGCTCAGCTGCCGATTAAGTGGCGTCTGGTGAATCCATAGATCCAGTCCGCCTTAGATGAATCTGACTCAGCACTTTAGACCGATATCGGATTTGTCTACGACGGAACTTGCCCTTTGTAACTTGATCAAACTTGATTTGCCTCTCGTAGCAAATCTGCGCTTATGCATAGATGGGTCTGTGGTATTTCGTTCACAAGTGTCATTCGCGCTTCAACGTTCATGATGTCAAGGTAAGCATGTTTGTATATGTGGCCTGCGGTGTGGTTTGCGCGTGCATCTTAAGAGTAAGGTCCTCTATCAGAACAACAACAGTTAATAGATAACCAGCAAGATAGACAACTGCTATTAAACGGTTCAACTCGAATTTCCAATGTTACTCCAGTATCTTCATCGGGAAGTCGTTTAAAGTCGAGCAGACGTCCCACTGTAATGTTACATTTGAGGTCTATCTTCACAATTCGAAGATCTCGCCAGTCTTCTCTTTCACTTGGAGAATGATTATTCGACTTCCTAGAACAACTTCCTCTACTGTGGACAGTGGCATAGATCCCACTGTTTTGAAGTTCTTATCAGACGAATAGTTATAGACTAGTCGACGCCCACTAGCAGTCTGAGCGTGAAGCCACATGTGTTTCCATTGTTATATAATACGCAAAGCGTTTGGGTTGAATTGGGACAAGGTGTGTGATATTTATACGTAAGCTATATCTAAATGAAGACAGATGCCCGGAAAAATCTGTTTCGATATGCCTCGGGAGATCATGACGGACTTGTTTATCTAATACAACTCAGATTCGGTTTGGATTCGGCTTTATTTGCATGGTCTTAATTCACATATTACTTTCTAGCAGTGATCCTAAGTGAAACAATCTGGCTATGTATAGATTCGTTTGACTTTAGGTTCTGGTCGATAAAAAAAGCAACACTCCTAAAAAAAAAAAAGCCGAAACGGTACGAACAGGCGCAAAAAGTCTTAAAAGAATTTAGGTCCTTCGTCAGTGCTAATTACCCTAGCAAGTGGGCGATAGATAACCATCTTTTCCCCAAAAACAACCGTTAATTCCGCGTCAAATTTTTAGCGTTAGTAGAAATTGACGTTTGTGCTAGCTTGATGAGTTTTCAAGTTATTTCAATCTAATTATCATTATAAAAATTTTACCTCGCCCTACTTCAAGGAAATCTTCATTGTTTTTTTTTTCCGAAAGCCACTTGAGGATTGGTGATAACATAGCCAGTTGGACTTAGACGATCAACAAACTTTACACTGTCCATCGCTCTGCGGGAGGACACTGAGCAATAGCCTCCTGTTATGACGTGTCTTCACGGAACATTGCTGGTTTCCTTTTAGTTTGCCATGCTATCTGACGTAGTAAATACGCTACCCTACGTTCCACCGAGAGTAGCGGGTGATTGTACGCACGCCTATAACAGCCCGCCAAATTTATCCTAAATATTTCGAACATCTAGTGCCAATGGCGACATTGAAGAACGGTCTTGAAAAAAGCAAGGCCATCAAAACAGAAAACCACCAAGCAGATTGTTGTTGTCCTATTATCAACTGCACCATATAGAATTTAAATGTCGACGCTACATTTCTACCATAATAATAAGTAGTTCAAAAGTCAGTTACGCGTCTGCGGCCGGCTGTACATGTCATATGTAAATTTGCTTTACGGTACCGTTCGAGACTAATTATACAATCATCTGGTTGCTTGCATCGGTCAATTTTACCGATTATTACGTCTTGAACAATATTAATGAAGAATACGTTCAACAAACGCACGAAACCTAGATCTTTCCTGCTATTAAAAAAAGTAGCTAACCAGCTGCCACCTACCTCGGCCATATCCCATATAGATATATATAGGTACGTGAATTATCCATGATATGCCCAGGATCAGTCCCAGCAAACCCAGCATTATTGATCAACGTCTATCTACGGCAGTACCATCCTGCTACGTTTGAGGCCGCTTCCTCACGTCATTTTGTTACGGCTTTTCTTGTTACCGCTGCTGTTAACGCCACTGTCGTAGATACAACTGTTAATGAACTAGTCACATCAAAATGTTACGCATCTCCTATCCAACCCAGGCAGCAACTCACGATAAGATCGGCAGCGCCGAACAAAAGCAGCGAGCAAATCAGTAATTGTAGCAATAGTTCTAAAGCGTCCGCTTCCCTGCTTTTCAGCGAAGATCAAAGCGTAGTGCAGTAGTATGACGTTGCGCAACGATAATCGCCGCTGCGAATCCAACAATGAAGCCCCCTTGCCTATTAAATAAGCAGACGTCAGCCAGCGCCATCGCTCATCTTCACCGCACCATTCTACAATGTTGCATTAGTTTACGTACGTACGTACGTACATATATAAAGTGCTAACGTGGAGAGGAGCGTTAAAGAGCGAACGTCGTTAGCGCCGCTGTTACAACACGCACAAGATAGACCGAACAGTGTAGCAACGAGACATTGTATCTAATCGAAACCGGCGCGGTCGCATTACTGCTAGAGAAGGCAGTCGACCCTTACTGTGAACTATAATTTCTCATGACTGTCCAAAGTAAAATTAGCAAGACAATATGACGGTTCATCTTCATTTCGTTATTGTTGTTGTTGTTGTTGTTGTTGTTGTTGTTGTGTTGTCATTGTCAATAAAAAAAGAAAAACATTTTTTTCGCAGCGTGATGCCAATGTCTTGTCTGATGCAACTTCTGTAGATTTTGTGCATAAGTCTGCGCTACCTTCGATTCCTTGCGAGGTCATCGGATATTCTTATTATAACGTGTATAATACTTCTAGGTAAGTCTAATAACATTTACGCTTACATCCACCCACAATCAAAGGGAGCATATTATCTTTGTGATTATCTAGTCGACTAGTTAAAGTTACCACGATTCGATCGCAACTGATTCCGGCCTCTGTGTCCATGTCCTTAGTCGAAGGAAAGTGCACCATTCACTTCAACGTACGCGATTGCTGTTTTACCACGAGGGCTTCAATCCAAGAGTACTCTTCCTGGAATCGTTTGTCCGTCTCCGACAGTCAGGGCTTCCTATCCCGCTTTGCCGCGACCATCGCCACCGTCAACAGCCACATTCACGCTAGCTCCATTATAATCACCTATCGTTTGTTAACCAACTTGTTCAGAAAGTTTCTCTCTGATAGAAATCGAGAATTTGAATGTTTGTCTTATTTCTACGGCAGTCGCCGTCGCCGTCGCCATAGCTATAGACATCAGTTCGTGACAGCCAAAGCCCGCGGCAGGACAATGCCGATGATGGCAGTAACGACAACAGTGACAATGTCAGCCGGAGATGCTGTGCAAGTAAAACTCGCTTGTTCTTTTTGAGCTTCAAATGTGCGTTTTTGTCGCTTGCTAATCGGAGCTCGACGTGCCATCTGCGACAGCCCACCGAACACGGCTCAGGGTTCTTACGGCAAAAAGAAACTGGAACGAAGGAAGCAACCGCTTCTCGTTCGCACATATAGAAAAACATAAAAATAGGTAGATCGGAGTAAATCGCTGCGTAGAAATGCTACTGTTGAGTAACTCGTTCAGCAGGTGTTCGACCCGTAAAAAAACACGCGCAGTCCGACAACTTACCGAGCGAGACTGTAACGTTCACGCTTTGCGCTACAGAAAGCACTCTACAAACGATACAACTTACGTGCTCACTTAATTAGTCCGCTCTTTGTTTCTATCAAACTGCCTAGAAGTACGGCGATCCAGCTTCAGGTTCGCCTAGTGTAGTGGAGCATAAACATGGTCAACGACGGCTCGCCGATCGACCTATACAGGCAGCTAGATAAGGCCACATAACGCTAGGTTCCTAACCTATATGTCCTAATAAATATTCATGAGCACACATACGTGCATATATGGAGCAGTCGTATAAAATACATAATGGTTACAAACATCAATGTGACTTACGAAACATAGGATCTAAGGATTGTTGTCCATGCAGCATTGATAAACTATGGGTATTTACCATATGCACTAGGCAGATTCCTTCTAGGCAATATTTTACCAAGCACAAATTGGTTTCATACCACTCTTCTTTCACCATTTTTATCAAGCATATTTACTTCAGCCAGCGAGTCGTTTTGAGGATGTGGTTCCGATTGCAAGTCGACTTGGGAACGTTATATGTCTCTGTGTTAGAAGACGAATATATATATATATTGCATGTACTTGGCTGTGTAGCTCAGTATTGACACGTTCATAAGTATGGATGTTCCTGTATTTATTCTATTTCGATATGTACTTAGAAGTAAACTTACGTAAACCAACTTACCATCCACGGCCGAGATGTTTACTCGAGATATATCCGCGACGCGCGGGGCCACTTCCAGTGAACTACCAGTTTTTAACCACTCCTCAACTGTCAGCCTCGTGCTCTCCGACGTCGTCTGTTTCACCTGACTATGTATATTTACGTATATATTTACGTTTAGACGAAATACTACAATATACACGTTACGAGGATCAGTGCAGAGATCAGGAGAACACCGAACAGCGTGACAGATCCATCAACTCAGCCTCGTCTCTTTCCTTCAACCAGCAGCGTTTGCGCTGGTTTTTCTTGGCCTTTCGTTTTCTCTCCTTTTTTGTACCACACACACACACAAAAAACCTTTTCCAATTTTCTCTTTCTTTGCCCCTCTTTTTTCTATTTTTTCGTCATAGCTTTCACACCTGACTTGTCATTCTCGTTGCCTTCGGTTAGTCTGCTTTACTTGTCTGTCTGTCACTTGTCCGAGTATGAACACACTCCGTGCCGCTATCGGCCCAGGCTGCCTATGTCCTCTGGCAGGCCCGCCGAGTCAACGGCACCCAGCTCCTTCTCTTCCAGTTCTTTCAACGGGGACTGGCGCCAGAATTGACCGGCATTAGTAGCATCGTTATCGTCACTGCCATTGTGTATTTGTCAACACCACACCACCGCGGCAGCGTGGATGCCCGTGAGCAGCCCCCGTCTGATCGAACTAGAAGACTACCAACCACGCCGTATCAACACGACAGATGAGAAAAGTCCAAATCAGTCACAACCTGAAGACAACGAGACTCCTGTTGTTGATCTTCCTTTATCGACTAAAAGCTCCCTGATCAACCTACACTTTGGCTTCGTTTCGTCTAGCATTTGTCCCTGTTGCATAGACGGACAACATATTCTGCTCCTTACTCCGCCTTTGTTTGCCTGCTTATGACTAGGCAAGGAAATAATGCACAGAGCCGTCATGCAACGCCAACGTGCTTGTCACGTACTCTTCTAACTCTAGCTCCTAGCTCCTCGCTCTCTCTCTCTCTCTCACTCTCTCGCTCGTTTCTCTCCCTCTCTCTCTCTCTCTCTCTCTCTCTCTCGCTCGCTCGCTCGCTCGCCCGCCCGCTTTCTACTTCGGATCTAATCCTTTTCAATTGGCTTAGTAACCACTTTTATTAGCACTTTCAACTTCAGAAGCACTTTCTGATGTTAGCACTGTATTCGGCGCTGCACCCGCCGAAAAAAACCCGCGCAAGATTCAGACAGATGAACGTTCTTTTCTCTCTAGGTCTTTTGTCGCGACAAACTTTTTTTGCGACAAACTTCTTTCTTTCTACTGCCATCAACAACAACGACGCAAAGAACAACAATAACAACAACAACAATGGGCTGACGCGTTTCCAAAGTATGTTCCAATGGAGTTACTTTCCAATCAATCCAGTTCACTGGCGGTAGCGGCCCGACCCGTCGCAGAGCGCTCCCGTGCCCGCGACGCCGATGCAAACAAAGCACACTACTCGTTCGAAGCGATCGCGGCCCGAAGCGAAAGCAGCAGCGGCGGCGGCGGCGCCGGCCCTCCTGCATTTGCCTCCGCGCACACTGACGACGGCCGCTTCGATGCGCGCGCACCTGGGCGAGGGAAACAGCGACACACAGAAAGTCTATGACTGGCTGTACGACAAGCAGCACCATTACAATTACTACTAGTTCGTCCAGTACCATAGGACCACTGTGGTGCTGGTAGGAGAAGCATAGTCGCACGGCTACAGTTGACAGGGAACGGGCAGGCGACGATGGGCCACTAGCCTTGGACCGATCAACGACTACATCCAACTACGACGCCGGCAACTCCTGTCTCAAGTATTACTACTACCACTACAGTTACTGTTGGCTGATATGGCGACCGTGACGGTTGCCGTTACGGCCGACGACACTTTCGCTGAACAGGTTTATGGTCGCCCTACAAACGGATGAACAGATGCGCTTGGAGAGCAAGCGATCTCTACAACAACAAGAAATCACAGATAGCACTAGAGACTTGACTTAACGTAACGACTGGGGTCAGCGTACTGATACAATATACGATACGTGTATGTTAGAGGAACCGCAATAGAGAAACGAGCAACACGAATGGCGTTTCTATATATAGATACTGTTGTCACCGCAACTTATCGCAGTACCAATGGTACACGTTTGTTGAACGGCCAAAAACGTATGAACTGCTCATTGACGCGGGGAAGCGTAAAAGGAAAAGAGAGAAAGTCTTTGATAAAAACTATAGCGGCAGATTGATACGGACGAGAGGTTGACGCGGAAAGAAACCTCTGCAAGGCTCAGCTGTGTATATACATATATAGTTATATCGAAGTACAGTAGAAATGAATGTTTTTGCATACTGAACGTGATGAATTTGATCATTACGCGGCAGTGCTGACTGACAGAAAAACGTAGAATTAAGAAGCAAGATTACATAATGCTATAACATAACTATAATGCTTAGACAAAGGAATTTCAAGCGATGTACGTAAATGACAATGCACGAAGCATCGTGCACGAATCAACTAGCTGAGGATAGAACGTACACGTTACTATTGGCATACCTTGTATATACACAAGTAACCGACCTGCTATAAAAATTATTATCATTATCCATCCTAACACCTTATGCTGCACCATATATCTAGAGTGACTAGTCGGGTATTCCTGCCCCCTGCGTCGTAGGTCATTGCCTACGACAATTATCTACTTTGCAGTGTATTTACCAGTGTAACAATTTTGTTTCGTCCACCTATTTGAGCCAATCTCGTCTCGACCCTTTCACATGTACTGTCAATCTTCTATCGAATCATTCTGTTATGTTGAAATTTCGTTACGAACTTTCCCCTATCAACGGTGAACGTTAAACGTCGCCGTCTTAACTGATCAAGCGGTTTACTATGGCTCAGCAACAGGTTACCGGGTGTACCCTACAGGGAAAATCTACAACCCATCAATGCAATCCGTAACCGTAGCCCGACCGTAGATCTTTCCGGCAGCCGAATTTAGCACGACGCTGCAGTCAGGTCTTTAAGAAAAAGCGCCTCGTCCTTCGCGGCTTTACGCAGCCGCTATCGCCGCTGTTATGGCTGTTGCTGGCTTATATTTGCTGCTGCCGCTGCTGGCGCCGCCGTCGTTGACCTACATTCAATTCAAGTGGCAGGTGGCGCGCGGCCTTTGACGGCAATAATAGGCAAAAAACAGGCAGGCAGTTAAATCATCTAGAAAAGCCACCGTAAGTTCTTTCGTAAGATCCTTACTTTTAATATTCCAGGACACGTTAGGTAATCCAGGATCGAACCGAGACGTAAATCTGCGTCGTTTCGGGCTAGAAGAGTTATTGTCCGACGCTGAATAACGGGTGGTCTTGCCACCTTCCTCAGCATTTGTCTTGCCTGCCTACGATAAGTAAGCCGCACCTCTTGTTGTACCTCTGGTTTAGATCGTTCTAAACAAAAAGCTTTGAGTTTTACGTACGATACCCTTGCTGGGCGTCCCATCAGACGATTGGCTCCCGCGTCGCTCGGACGCAAACAAACCTAATCTAGCCATCATAAACGACGGCCGCGTTTCGATGAGTGACGCACGTGAACCCTTGAGGTCGCTAGCCTGTAGCCAGACCAGAAGCGAAATTAAGCTATAGATAGACGGGCAGAGGAAAGGTAATTGACAAATCCACATTGCACAGGCGACTGCTGGTTTACAGTGGCCTATGCAATGTGAATAGGAAAATAACATTATTTTTCTGGTGTCTGCACAGCTACCATATGTGCGCACAATGTCTTCGAACCCCCCCATCCCCCAAGTTTGTCGTTATCTAGTAGTAATGCTAATACATGTAAACAGATGTCCGTTTGACACCTGTCTATTACGTAACCTGCCTGTTATAGTTCGATACTGCATGGTTGTAGGCGCAAGTATATTGGTCCTTACGGTTACGTGTAATCAAACTGAGCACGCCATTCTTCTAGCAACTCAAAGTCTGTACAAACAGGAACAACACAATGACTCGTATCATATGTAACCGTGCAGGAATTTAGTCTTCATAAGGCACTCAAACTAAAATATTTTGATCGAGGTTTTATAGAAACCTCGATCAAAATGTTTTTCTAATGTCTTAAAGTATAGTGGAAGCTAATGGAGCCTCCGTATGAAACGCTCCGTATCTAATTATAGTAAGATAGTCATTTTTGTTTTCATACATTAAATAGTAATACTTGTTATTACTAATATTTCAGTAATAAAACTCTGAGGTATCCATTACACAATTGAGCTATACTATATTTTATAAGAGAAAGAAAATTAGGTAGAACAGAAAATTCTACTATGTATAGCGTTTAGACTCTACCTCAAGCGTGTGATGATAACTGAAAAGCAGCACGCCATAACATACAGATTCACTCCATATTATTGAATTCTCTTGTTCTACCCCCGTTCTGCGCATACCGATCTCTATTAGAGAGAAAAGAAGCAAGTCGGTAATATTTATATGACTACTCTTCTGGTCAGACTTTCCATAAGTTCCACATCAATATTCTTTAGAACTTGCCCTCGCAGCATGCCACACGATAGAGTACCGCATAACGCTATTGTGCTCATAGTTTGCCCGCTCCATGTTCTACGTTCGCCGTTGCTTCCCGAATCGATCCGGCATTAAAATAGACGATGGCTTTTGAAAGGGTTAACTTCGCCAATGGGTCAGTTTGATGCACACCGCCTCGACTGTGCCTAGTATCTGGCATCATATATTTTGTATCTACTTACTTTCACATAATCATGATCGGATCAAACCACGATCACTGCATTTGTCGTGCCTGAACTTTTGCGTGCCTGAAGTTCTCTATGTCGTCACAGTGTATGTTTGTGGCATGTATGAGGGGGCAAGTTATATACTACTGAACCTATTGGCGCATGAAACGCTGAACGAGCGCCCTGCAGCAGCCACAGTGCGATCGTCATGACGACAGTGGCGACGGATTTGGAGAATTAAGCTTACGTCGCTGCCCATATGGATAATGGTTATGGTAGCGCCTGTTCATGCTGGTAATGTTGGCCAGTGCCGGTGTATCAAGAAGAGATCGAATTGTCGGATAAATGACAATACTGCTTAACCGTGATGTGTCCTACGACATCCAGGACACAGTCTCCCAGGCCAATAAGCCGTCATCGTCGACTGCCACAGTCGCGTCCCGGTATACCCCTGTGATTTATATACGTGTAAGCGAAAACTTTCGAGAAGTAACTTTCGCTCACCGAGTTGAGTCGAAAGAGTGCATATCTAATGATGTTTGTGGTGATATTATGCGTCTCCTGCGTAAGAAGCATGACGGTGACTCTGTGCGTGTGCGCACTAAGTGTGTATTTAAATAAAAAAAAAATTATGCAGCCGTCTCTCTGTCTTTCTTTCTTTTTTTCTTTCGTTCATGTTGTTAATGCTGTCGCTGTAACTGGTGTACAATGAGGTTTAGTGGTTTCCGACCATGTCATCGGCTATATCGTTCTCTTCTATGTGTGTCCACGTATAGATGTAACGGTCACAGAAAGCTCAAAAGAAGATCAATAGAGACAAAGGAAGAGTGGTTTGTTGACTGTTTCTCATGTCGGCTCTCCCCCCCCGTTAGCGTATAGTATACCAATAATGGCAACGACGAGGACAGCGTGTTACTTATGATGTCATGCAAGATGACCCACCCTGCCAACGTGTTGTGGGTAACACTCTCACATTTATATACACAACAAGCGAAACTGCGATCGGTATGTGCATAACCCAGAAAATCGTCCACCAGCAAGCAACGGTTGCCGGTGCCAGTAAATCCAGCGCATCGCACCATCATAAAGTACTTAGCAAACGTCATCTGATTCTTTGAAATTTTCAGCCCCTACCTTCTTTCTAGACTGGCCTTCCCAGCGGTCCAACGCCGCTCACATCAACAATTCAGGACATTTTCATGTTTCTTGAATGTTTTTTTTCTTCCTATGAGAATACGAAGCTTAGGTAAGCGCACATAGAGGAGATCTGGAACATACTGCCCTAGAAAACGCAACATTGGTTTCGTCTATTATATTACATGATAACGTCTGCTGCTGCTGCTGCTGCTCTGGCAATGACAGTAAGTTGAATTACGAGGTGGCCAGGGGCCATGCTCAGATCGGGAGCTGGGCTCTTATCATGTCTTGCTATACGAACATGTGGTCTTCATGCGTCAATATCGGTACTGGCCGACGCGGAACAATAAACTGTAAAAGCTGATCGGATCCGCCAGGCCAATGTCTTTCTCTCGCTGTAGAGAAAAATACGGTCATAAACGAGCTACTCATCGACATGTGTGATTAAATAGAGAAAATAAATTTACTGTGAGAGGCACTATCCGCCGTTATGCAATATAAAAGGATGTCCTTGATGTGTATGGTCCTGTTTACAACTGTATATCCTTTTCCGAATTGTAGCCTAGAAGCTGTGCATTGCAGCTAATACAAG